TTCCAAATGCAGACGCACCGTTTTGTGGTTCACCAAAACCACGCCCTGTAACAGGGGCGTGGCCTACTCTGTCTTAGCCCTCAAAGGAAGCATGGTTTACCTAGCCACACCACGTAATTGGGCGTGGTTTACCTAACCACACCCCTCGAAAGCGCTGACCACGCCCCGTAACAGGGGCATGGTTTATTTAGTCAAAGCTCACAAATGAGGCGTGACTTTCTTAGCCACACCCCATTTCAGCAACTGGCTACTTAGCTCAGTGGTAGTGACACAGACTGGGAAACCTGTGAGCGTGAGTTCAAACCCTGTCTAAGCAACCTGAAAGACATTCATGCTTTCAAAAAAGTAATAATAATAATTTATTATATATGCACATCATATTTGAGTTTTTTAAGCATGCACAGGAATCACACACAAGTGCAGAGCTAGTGTCACTGCTTTAGTTCAGAGAGGTAAGGTGCTACTGAATCCACATATTTAACAACAGCCCTCACATATAGGGCACAAAAAAAGTAGTCTATGACAGCAAAACAGGCCAGAAGGCGACTCCTGAAACATCCAGATACACAGTATCACAATAGCAGAAAGAGTTACAATCAAATGCACCGGAGCTGTGTATCTTTGCATTAATACTTTGTATTGTATTGCCTGTTGTGAAATTACATGTAGTTCATGAGGATTTCTGCAGAGGCTATGGGAAAACTGCAAACAAACTGAGGTCGCTGTTGAAAACACTTGATCTATCAAGCAATTAAATGTTCTGAAAATAAATTCAAGTTTTATTTTTTTATTATATGTTTATGAAAGGTTGAGAACCAGGAACGAATTAGCAAGACCTTTGTGCTTTTATTGTACTTTCACGCACACACACACACAGGAACACACGCATATACAGTATATTAATATGTACTAATGATTAAATACCGCTGAGTTTATTCAGTGCTTTACTCCCTTTTGAAAAGACAACTCTTCACAATCTCTACCTGCTGTTCTAACCACAGCCACTAGTGTCTATCATTGGTAAAAGTAGATTTATGATGTGTGGGCGTGCTACTTCTTAATATATGTCAGGCAGCTGAGTGTAATTCCTGTCCCAGTAGCCCTTCAAGTAGATCCAGTCTTGAGCTTTGTTGTGAGGGTTGTGTCCCTGCTGAAACCACCTGTGGAAATTGAAAATCAATGACATTTAAAACAAACACATCAGGTGAGATTGGTCAACACCTATCAAGAGACACACTCGAAAAAATTAGTTACACTAACTACTCGTGTGCCACTAACATCGGACAGTGGGGCCCTATTTACTACTGCTTTCATTTGAAGAGATGCAGTTGCGCATATTGGTCTAAAGGGGGTAATACAGCACAGCACAGCACACCCAAACAAAAAGGCAGCTTAGATTTAAAGCAAACCTTGGACCGAGTGCAGGACTTCTTTATAATCATAACAAAGGGAAAAGCACAAACAAAACAGAGTGCAATTATTATGTTGACACACAGCCATTAAACACGTGCGGGGACATTTTTAACGAGGCTACTAACCTTGTTCTCCACTCTTCTGTTGACTTGTTGCGATTCTTCCGGGCCATCCTCTGCTTCTCCTCCAGCCTCTTCTTCTCTGCGCTCGCCAAGTCTGCCGGGCCACACATACACATTCACATGAGTGTGAACATGGAACTCCAATGTAGCAGGTGCACACATGGAATATCATACCTATATCGCCGTTCTCCATCGCACGGATGTCAGGTCTGAGGCGACTGTCTGTGGACGGAACCACTCCCTCCATGGTTTTTTCCAGCTCATTCAGCTGCATGGCAAATGTGGAGAAGGCGTAGAACTGACACGGATGGAAAATACACACATTAGTTGTTTGTAGTTGGCATTAAGGAGCCAACATAGTTTAAATGTCAGATGGTTAAAAACTTGTTGAGATGACACAAAGGTATCAACAATGTTAACAGTGTATACAGCGTAACAGTGTAAGTGAATAGAGGATAGTGGAACACGGATGGAAGAAGAACTGGCCACAAGGTGGCAGTAATGCAACCAATGCAATAACAGTTATCACAGTGTTGCATTCAATTCCTCTCTTCAAACACCTTGGGGGAGTTCTCTGGACGGGGTGTTATCTTCCAGATGAGCTCACTTCCTGGAATGACCTGGACCGTCTCGGTGCTGGGTGGTGGCATCTCCTCTGGTTCTTCATCTACACTATTCTGTGGATGAAGAGAAACACATACACAGAGAGATCATTCTGAGTTCAATCAAATGGATGAACCAAAAAAAAAAAAAAAAAAAAAAATATATATATACATATATATACATATATATACATATATATACACATATATACATATATATACACATATATACACATATATGTATGTATGAAGTGCTGATTTTTTTTACCCTTTTGCTGTCATTTTTGTCCTCTGTACTCTTTTTGTCTGACTTTTTGTGGGCATCAAATGCAGCTGGGTCGACGGTGTACAAACATTCAGTCCATTTGCCATAGATTGCGCAGAGCTTCTTTTTGCTGCCGACAACAAAACAATACACAGGATTAAAAGAACCAAAGAACTGCACGTGTCAAAACATGAATCAAAGATTTAAAACAACACGCTCAGATCTCACTTTGACACTTAAAAAACAGAGCAAAGTCTTAGAGAAGCACTGAAGAAAAGAGCCTGGTGTGAAATTACTGCTACATCTTCTCAGGGTAAAGCCTAACGACATAACTGTCATTACAATATCACACAGTATCTGACAAATTAAAAAAAAAACTCTTCAACTTCACACTGACGATACCTTTTATCTAGGATGTATCCTTCCACCTTATGAAGCTCTTTTCCAAAAAGGCCACAGGGCTTGAACGTCATGTTGCATCTCTCTCCAGTCCTGCCACAGATGGAAACACTGTTCAACCATCTCTCTGGTTAGCTCTCATCCTCTCCAGTCCTGTGAGCTGCGGTTTTCTATCATTAATTATCCCACTCCTATATTCTAATGGAAACTGTCCTAGTTCTGTTTCCTTGATCACACACACAGACGGAGCTAGGATATTTATGTAGTCTCTGTGTAACATCTGCAGGAAAGCACAGCCAGAGGAAGAAAAAGAAAACCCATACTGATCATTTCTTTTTACTTGTGATTGATCACTTCCACGTTGCCGTACTGCTCGATCCAAAGCTGGCCGACGATAATATTGTGTACGCAGCAGGTCGGGTTAGTCCAGGTGTAGGCTTCATTATACCTGCAGAGAGAAGAGAAGAGAAGAGGAAACATCATCAGAATGGATCAAGCCACACTTAACAAGCAGTTTGAGACGATGCACTCACTTAGGAAGCTCCAGTGTGATGGTTCCCTTGGGCTCTGCTTCGATGCTCTTTCCCCAGAACTTCAGTTTGGGGTAAATGGAGCCATGAAACACAAAATCCTCCTTGAGGCCCTCGGCATGAAAGGCGCTGACCGGAGGATGATGGCTGACCTGCTCCGACATCCACTTGAAGCCCAAATCATCTCTAATGGAGACACAAAAACAATTACAATTCTTAATCAATCACTGGTTAACTGTAGATTAATCATGATTGATTACAATTAATCATGATCAATCATGATTAATCAAGGTAAATTATCACATTTTTTTTCCTGTATCTTACTGGAACAGAGAGACAAATAATAATTGAAATGAGGGAATTTTACAATTTAAGCCTAAGTGTTTGGACTGTGTATAAAAGCAATGATAAGTGGATGGGCTAAGTGGGCTTAATGTATCTACAGTACATGTCATTCTGCTTTTCACAAATTAATTATCCTGACCAATACATTAATTCCAAACCCAATGAAAAACACAGTTTTTGGGAAAATCCTGAACTAAACAATTAGCGAAACAGAAGTTTGCAGTTTGTCTAATTTTCCTCATGAGAGACATTAGGTTTTTCACTTTCCAACCTGGTGAACTCAAAGGTTTCACCCAGTAGGGGGTTAAACGGTTTGCCCGTCCTCTCCCACTGCGAAGCCACAGCCGACACAGCAAACGCCGCGACACACTGCAAAGCAGTGACGAATCAGTTTAACAACAGTTTAATAATATTGACCAACTCAGTCATTTTAAATACAAGTGAGTGACACTGCATCAGGTGATACCTTCATCCTCTCCACAGAGTCAGTGGCAGCATTAGCCTGCTGGATGAGGTAGGTGTGCTCCATGTACTCCGTCAGCCTCTGCAGGAAGCTCAGAGGTTCGTTAAACACCACAGGCATGGCAATCTTTGACAACTCCTGGGAGAATAGGGCGAAACAAAACAAAAACAATGGTGGTGAAAAAGAAACAAATTGTTTTGAAAAAGTAACAAATAGCCAGTGCACTAGCTGGTTATTATAAAAATAAATAAAATGTTTCTACCATGAAAATTGCAGTTATACATTTTGCAAAAAACAAAAACAATAAACAACCCTGCATAATAATTAAATAAAAAGTAATACATTTGTGTAAATGTTTTGGAAAAATATTTATATTCACAAAAGTGAGTTTTTTAAGGTGTGATATAATATTTTTATAATATAGCAGCATTAAAATCACAATTAAAACAAATATGCATTTGTTTAAATTCTTTAGTTGTTACATTATATCAAACAACTTTTTCTTTTGTCAGGACTTTTCTTAACTCCGTCAATTTCTGCAGTCACCAGGTAATGGTCAGGGTAGATCCTGGACCCTTCACTAGGCCATTAAAAGGTTTCATATAGACAGAGACAAACAATCTTTAGCATAAATCAATTCATCTGGCCTACTCACCATGCCAATGCATTTTTTCAGGATACTCCAGATGCTGACATCATTCCTGGAGAACATAGGAGCTGGAAGACATGTTCTGTGGAACAGTGACACACAGTAAAAAAAAACAAAAAACAACAACCAACATGCTGTCCATGCAGACGTACAGATGTTGGACATCTTTATGCACTAACATCTTTATGCACTAACATCAAACCACACAATCAATAGTCCAGGTGAAGTGACTCCACTATAAAAAAAACATTGTGTATTGCCATTTAAGCATTTCATAGTGACAACAAAGCACCAGCATCCATTTGGAAACAGGTCACCTGAGACCTGTGAACTAATGAGCAGTCAGTCTCCTCTGCTGCTCTGCTCCAGCCTCATACAATATCCATGATGGGATGTACAACTGTGTGTGTGTTGGTTTTCAGGGCTATGTTCTCTAGGACTGTTAAAAAAAAAAAAAAAAAAAAAAAAAAAAGTTTTTCATATCAGTTGTCTCCCTGCCACATTCTTCCACCCTCGGTTTTGAAGTCACAGAAGATGCTAATGTAGCGACGCTCTGTTTGTCTGGCTGATAGCTGTTGTTTGGACTGATTTGTAGATCCTCAGCGTGGATCCAGGTGGTGTCCTTATTTGGAGTAAGTGCAGTAGAAAAGCTCTCAAATAAAAAAGTACTACATCAGCTGAATAAACACAGGTAGAGTTGGAACGAAGAGGGGGGAGGAAGGGGCAGTTGATCGATAACGTCCAGCTTTTGCTTCTCTGTGCATTTTCACCATTGAAGACATTTTGGTAAGATTATTGTTTACAACAACAAAACACAAACTGTTCTGTGGAAGCTCAGACGCATTTCTGAAAATAGAGTTTCACTGTGTTTTTCTTATTTGGCATATCAAAAAAGATTGGGAAAAATAGAAAAAAAATCACAGTCAACTGGGGACAAACGTGTCTTTGAATGACAGAAATACCAAATAAACAGAGAGAGGATGAATCTTTAATGCACAACAAGGAACCAGTAAGGCAGCCCCACTGGTCCAACTCATACTCTGAGCCACTTTAATTATTCATGGATCACTTGTTGGATTAAGGAAAGGCCAAGAGGCGGAGGCAGAATCAGTTATCACGGAGATGAAAGATGACAAATCTTTCATGATGCAGGGGACCGCGTATATATTTTTATACCTGTGGACCTGTGAGAAAACACCAAAACATTGCCCCCGACTGTTTATTTTTACCTCAGTTGAAACATAAAGACTAGCCTGCAAAGGAATAACAGTGGAAAACGAACCAGTATTTTTTAGGGTTTGTCATTGGAATATTATAAAAATATGTATTTGAAAATATAAAATTTGAATATGACAAACTCTGATGAGCAGTCAGTCTGGATGGTTTAATTCCCCGACTCTGTGTGCCAGGTTGAGGCCAGTAAACAAGTATGACATCATAACTGGAGCGTGTCCCACCTGTGCTTCTCGACTCCATTGTGCTGGGCTGGTTGGTTGCCATGGTTACACTCCCCTGACATTCCGGTAGGCCCCCTGAGTGCGCTGGGATGGCGGCGGTTGCTGTGAAGGGGGGCGTCTCTCCCCTCGTCCTCTTCGCAGGAGTAACTGGCCACAGACAGGAAGCCGCTCACGGACAACTCTGACTCGGAATCTGCGGGGCGACAATGGGGGGCAGATGCCAGGTCATGCCAAACGTGCGAAGCTTCAGGCAGGCGGCGCAGAACACTGTAGTCGCGGCAGTAAACTCTCTGAGAATTAACTACCTGTGCTCAGGTTCCTCTCCAACCCTCCCCCCCTCCCTGCAGCCTGATAAACCCCATCTGAGGATTGTGTTCCAGCGAGAGGCCACACGCGGGCTTAATTTCCTCCGACATTGTTTGCTCAGTGCACGCCAGATACTATTCCTACAGCACTGTCAGTGACTGCACAGGTACTGCACATCATATACACAAAGGGAGGAAGTACAATATTAGTCAATGTGACTAAACATCATTAACTTGTGTGCCTACTGCAGTAATACATGTTTGTTTGAACGGAATTCAACCTGAAGAGTGCACCTGCAGATATTAAAACTGCAGACACTGAATATATTTTGTGTGTGTAGATGTAGAAGATTAAAAAAAACAACATATTTTTTATAGCTGTCCTCTCAGTCTGTACAAACATTTTTCAACACCAACTGAGCACAGTTTGGACACATGCTGTATAGTGTGTCACTGGCCAGTGGATAACTCTGGGCTATCCATGAATTATGCAGTAATTCCTGAGAAGGACTGCTCCACAGAGTACAAAAATGTTGTAGAAGGAAGTCTGCTGTTGATAATCACTACAGGGAAGTTTTGTGGTGCGGCAGAAAAGCAAAGTTTGTGCATTTTCGGCTTTGACCCAGACTGGATTTGCTGATGATGCGAACGCTTACGTAGCAAACAAATCACTGGCGGGGATAACAGATGAGGACGGTGGTGAGGTTTTTCTTTGGCAAACTCGGAGAGACAGAAAGCCAATGGATTAAATAACTGTACTGGAGGTGTCAGGACATACTGTATGAGAACACACACATACACACACAGTTATTTCAGGGGTAAAATGAAAGCTGAAAAGTCGTGCTGCTGGGGGAAATTTTCTAAAATAAACGTGTCAGTGCTGGATCTGTGACTTTTGTTTTTCTTTGACAGAACAGTTATATTTGGAAACATTACGCAACATTTCCACCACTAAAAAGAAATGGCAACTGCAGTGAATTACCTACTATCTAGCCAAATCTTTTGCACAGACCCATAAAGGATAAATACTCTTCCCAAATGGCAAGAACAGTGGTACCACTTATTGTTGCCTTTTTACAGTTCTGTCAGCAGAAAAGTGTGAAACCGACAGAAGGAATGTGTATTGTTGCACCGGTGCGTTGAAATGCACCGTCGTTCACGCCACAAATAAATGAGGTAACGAACAGATGGTGCATCAGAGATGAACATCCGTTCCAAATCCAACTTTTTGAAGCCACCTGATTTTGCTTTTTCTACAGGCGGTAATTAAATGACTGACAGCTGCTGCTGGAAGGTACACTGTAGATACGGCCATTATCTAGAACACGGCACAATCTTCTGTAGAGGTTTTCTGACGTTGTGTTTTTAATGATTTGGCCTTGATGTCAAACGCCTGGCAGTAAAAACTAGAACGAAGCAGAAATTTCCATACCTATAGGTACAGCTTCAAAATACTGCAGTGAATCGGCAACAACGCTACTAACCAAGTATAAAAATGCAGGGATTTCCAAAGTGTGAGCTGCCACTAGGGGATGCACGAGATAAAATGTGACAGCTATTTGGAGTGTTTTCTTTTGTGGGAATTATTCACACCATAAAGATGTGTAAATAAACATTTCATTAGTAAAACTTTAAAATTGAAAAGTTGAGGTTTTAATTCATAAATTAAGCCAAAAAAGTTGGAGAAATGCAGAGTAAATAAATTAAGATAATATGCCAGAGTAGTATTTGGAGAAAACCTATTCGGGAAGAACACACAAATTCCATACAGAAAGACTGGGTATCAAACCAGCACACCTATGTTCTCACTGTAAGGCAAGAAACTGTCCCACGACAGAATCAATCTGATTACACTGTGTTATTAAACTGTTGAACTGGTCACAGCCAGTCACTGGAGAACCTGAAGCTGCTGACCTGACTCAGCATCGTAGAAGTCATATTCCGTGAGGGCACTGCGGGTAGAAGACCTCCTGCTCCTGCTCAGAGACTGCCTGAGCTCTTGGTGCTCGGTTGCCAAAGTCTGGAGAGCTTCTGTCAGAGCTTTATTCTTCTCCTCCTCCTGCTCCAACTGCAGGCTCCACACCTGCAGACACACAGTAACAACACAGGTGTGTGTGAAAACTTACGATGCCCTGCAGGAAGACAGGTGGTGCAGACTCAACCTTTTTTGGTTGGTGAACTGTATTGTACAGAGTACCATGCGTATACAGGTGTAGTACTTTGGTAAGCTGTTCACCCTGACCAAAGATGTGGTTTCTCTCAAACCAGATTTAAATGGCCCATAGTCCAGCTGCACTGTGGGAGTAAAGTAGGTCATGTTGCTATTGTTCAGAGCTGCCACACTGCAACTTTCACCAAAGTTACATGCAGTAGATATACAGTATATTGTACTTGGAAAACCTGAAATATTTATGTAACCCTTCTACCATCGACCCGTATATCTGGGCTGCAAGATGGAGTCTGAACCCTTCTTTAAATACTATTTTATACATTAAATAACTGTCTATGGTCACGTATGATTCTCACTCATTAATAACAACACAGATCGCTGTCATTTAACATGTATTAAAATATAAAGAAGTAAAGAAACAGCCATATTTTACTAAAAAGGAAGAAAAAATAGCAACTCGAAAACCATAGGTATTGACTTGAGTCACCATGTACTGTTTAACCTCTCTCATAACCAAGTCCCTTACTTGTTATTTACCATGCATATTCTTGGACTATTGAATGTTCACCTCTACCAACATGCACGTGTAAAGAATCATTCCAGCCCTACCGTCTTTTTAAATACACACTGTAAAGTAAATGAGCTCACGCTGCAGTATCCTGCCTTCAACCCTGGCCCAGGCCACTTGGCTTTAAAGCTCATCCAGGAGTAGAACTCTTTATTGTGCAAGTATCCCGGCCAGATTTTTCACTTCGACTGCATCCTCTTACTGAGCACAAACAGCTCTATTTTAAGCACTCCTGAAGCAGCGAGCAGGACTCTGGGAGGGATGCTTCTCCATGTCGGCCACCCCGAGGTGTACATCTTTTTATTTTGCTTTACAAAGGAAGCTCTGTTGTAACTTCACTGCAGTCTTCTGTGAAGTACTCTTGTAACCACACACCAACCTATCAGTGAAGTTTGTATTTTCCTTATACACACATAAATAAAACCAGCTCATAGAGACCTCTCTGTGGTTTCTAAGCTGAATGTAACCATCACTATTGTTTCCCTCACAGCAGTGGCAGCTCCCTGCCCGAGAACCACAAAGGTTTGATTCATAAATCTGCTGTTCCATTAACTCTTTCCTCTAGTGCAATATTCATAACAATGTCAGCTGTGAAGAGAAATCTTAAATGTCTCCTATGGTACTAGTCATCCAGTTCTCCCTGCACGATCTAGCATCTAACTAGCATTTTTTTTTATCCTAACAGCAGCTGCTGAAATGGGTCAGACCACATCAACGCTGCTCAGGGACAGAGCTAATTGCTAAAAAAAAATCCTGTAGGATATAAACTCTGCTCCTCTACCTCACATCTGCCTGAATGTCAGAGCAGGGTTTACAGAAGCCCACGGTGGCTTTGGGTTATGCACGGTGAAGAGTAATTGGGTAAGTAGCACAAACACATGCATCTGTGGCAGGGCGCTGAGATTACTGTTAATACTGACTAATACACCCTGTCAGTAAGGCAGAAAATATAATCCAGTTAGAGCATGAGACATGGACGTATTAAAGCATTGTAATGAAATCAAACACATTTAGAAGAACAGCAGCTCACTTTGTTTTAGAACCCACAATAAATATGTGAAAGGCTTTAGACCAACCCTTAACAGCATAGAAAAAAAAAAATCGGAATAAATTTAGACGACACCAAACTTCAAACAACTCCCATTAAGTCAACTGGGACCAGTGTGCCATAAACAAAGCCTGCCATTCAGCTACGGATGAAAAACAGAGAATAGAGCAGGATATTTGAAAAAAATAATAAAAAAATGACACCAATTTAGTTTGTACCTGTGAAGATGCTGGATCAAAGTGCCAAAACTGTCCCTCCTTTTTTTTTCTGTGGGTAAATGCTCAGATGATCCGGTGTGAGAAAGTGAGGCTGCAGGCGTATATTTCTACTCAGTGACGGTGACAGCGTGCATCGCCAGCTCAGTCTGTGAATATGCATGCACTTGAGTTCTCTCGCTCAATACACAGCCTTTCTGTGGAGCAGGACTGTGTGCGACTGCCAGGGAGTGTGTGTGTGTGTGTGTGTGTGTTCGTGTGCGTGTGTGTGCTGTATGCAGACCTAAGCCTAAAAGCGGATCTTGCCATTGTCCTTTCTGAAGACATGACAGTGATTACCACACTTAGACCATCTCTTAACCCGAGAGTGATGATTAGAACAGATGTACAGGGACACACACACACAGAGGCACAGACACACACACACACACAGAGGCACAGACACACTTCTTGAAATCTGATTGGTGTGAATCAGCTGGGGGCGGAGCTCAGCTAATTTATGGTTTGCTTTATTTATTCAACTGATAGGAAAAGATCAAAAAGATCTGTTGTGTATCTATCTATCTATCTATCTATCTATCTATGTTTTAGACCATCATCAGGATGAAGATCATCATCATCATCGTTCCCTTCGCTCCTCTTGGCTGCATAAGTCTTTGAATTCTTAGACCAAAAACTATATAAACAATCAGAATCAGGACCAGTAGTTCTCACCAGGTACATTTACAGATATAGAGAAATAATAAGATATTTAAAAAAAACCCAATGGTTTAATTTTGAAGTTTGTCAGTTCTCACCTCTTCCTGTTTTGACAACAGCTCAAGGCAGTGCGTCACAGCTGCACACGTTTCACTGGAAAGATCACTGGTCTCTTTAGCTTTTAGAAGAAGTGGTGCGGCCAAGGCTAAAAAACAAAAAACAAAACAAAAAAAAAAGAGGTTGAAGGGACACCGACTTTACAAATACAGCTGTCTATAAAACAATAGTGTTGTAAAGCTGAGGCTAGTTTTCAATTTATAACAGTATACAACCTCATATTATCAGGCTATCTCCTGTGTTTAACACACAGCTGGGTGATGGCAGTGAAGTATAATGATGTCACTTTTATTCACCATCCTACTGGATGTTTATGTCAGTCGTGCCTTTCCCTTCATTTTCCATTACCATCCTACTGGATGTTTATGTCAGTCATGCCTTTCCCTTCATTTTCCTCCAAGATAAATCCTAATGCACTAAGTTGAAAATATATTTATAAAAAAATTAGCTCTGTGTCATGTCATTGTACTGCACAGACGAATGCAGCTGTGCTGCTGTCCAGTGTGTGGGACAACAATGACAACAGTGGCTCCACACTGTGATGCCTATCAGTCGTCACTGATGGAAAAAATGCACCACACATCTGCCCAAGACAAACGTATTGACACTTACCGCAATTCCCCTCATTCTTCACCATGGACAGAAATATTGACACTTCACTTTCCAATTTCTGCTGGCATCTGCTGGCCGCCTGCAGGAGCACAGGACAGATGATCCCATGCACAAAAAAAACACTTCATGATATATCACGATTTTTTTCATAGTAATTTCACCTGTACTGCTTGTGTCAGGTTTCTCACTGCGTCATTGTCCCTATCGTCGTCAGTGCTAATCTGTTCTTGGACGTAGTGACGAGTACTGAAGGAGGAATGGGCCTCAAATGCATCCAACCATTTCTACAAGAAAAAATAAATCTGAAATCTTAAAAAAAAAACTCCTACATAACGTTACAAATGGAATAAGGATACAGAACAGATGGACCGTGTAGTTCCCATCATACTTTTCTTGTCGACAAGGAGTTTGTTTTTGACGCCACCTTAAAAGAATGCACGTTGTTGTCGGAGCACCGCACCGTGAAGAAGCAGTGATCCCACGGTTTGACCTGCGAGTAAGTAAAACACAGACATAAAAACAAAGTCCTAAATTATTGTAGATATATAAATGGGGGAAATATAGGGAAAAGAAACCCAACCATTCATACTGGGTTAAGGACAATAAAAAAAACAACAAAGTAATTTTGGTTTTACAGACAGGACCCCTATCCTGTCTGGGGTTGTTCCAGAGTTTGGGGGTTGCAGTGACCGAGGTCCAATCCTCTCTGAGATAAAGTTTGGTTTTTAGGACAACTACGTTGATCAGCTGATATAACTGAGCACAACGGGTTGTTGAGCTAATGTTACTCTATTAAAATCAATGCTGGAGCATACAGGGAGCCAATCAGAGGGGGACAAAATGGGTATGAGTATTTTCTTGCTTTCAAGTCCCTGTTAACGTTCTGAGAGCAAACGAGAGAGATCATTCTAGTAATTCAGCGGTACAGAAATTAAAGCATGCATGACCTTTTTCAGATCTGACAGAATTAGATTTTTTAGTTATAATATCTATAATAATAGGTTTGTAACTGAACGCTGGGAATTTGACCTACCATGCAGTAGGCCTGAGTCAGAGATGTACAGCCCTGTTTTCTGACACCAGCCACAGCGTCAGCCCTACGACAGGAAAAATAAATAAAATTACGCACAGAAAAATGGGTTGTTTGAAATATTAGTGTCCATTTCAGTTCCACCATGAAATCTCTGAGGAATGTCGAAGAATGAAGTCAAGGAACTTTCTGGTATGGCCAACATATGGTCTATGTCAGGGGTTAATGTTTACATGGACACTAATTAATTATTATTATTACAATTTTATCATATAGATTGCCTAAATGATATCATACAAGCTGTAATACACATACAGGAAGTTAATATTACACAATAGTTACTCACTGCCTGGTATACCACGAGAGGGTTCCATCCTCCAGCACCACCCAGATGGACCTCCAACCAAGGAAACGTGAGCTCTTTCACAAAGATATGAAGTTAAATTAAATTCCAAAATGACATTTAGAAATCCTTGAGTGAATGTGAATTTTGATATGGAAAGTTACTGAAAATGTAACTTAGATGTGACTATTCAATTTTTATAACATTATTTGATTGCTCATATTGTTCATATTATGTATATATTGTATGTGTAAAATATAGAAGTCCATAATCTGAAATTAATTTATGTTAAAAAAATGGAAATAAACATTTAAAGCTTTTAGGTGAAAACATGCGATCACAAAGTGAAGTCTTTATCTTCAAGTGTGGGAAATCTGAACAAATATTGTCTGAATTATTGGAACGCCACAACAATACACTTCAACATCTGGGTACCTTCCAAAGTGGACCTTCAATCTTCTGTACACCACCGTTCACATCCTGTGAGTGAGATGGTACATCAGTGAGATCACACTATTGTTTTGTTTTTGATTAAAAATAAAAACTATTTTTTTAATTCATTGATAGCCTAAATCCTGTAACTCATAAAATCTGCAGCAGCAACATGAGATAAATAAACTTGTGCACAACGTTCAAACTGTTGTGACTCG